AATAAAAAGAGGAGGAATCCGCCAGAGCGCGGCTTTCGGCCTGAAAAGGCATAAGCCTCATGTGGGGTATATAAATGCATATTGAAATATAATATTTAAATTTAGACTGAATTTATGCAGTTGGTAGATGGCTTAAATTAATGTAATTTCCTAAGAATTCAATTGGCTCGTTAATAAAACAACTTTGAAGTGCACTTTGATTCATTGACCTTTCCCTTGGGTTCAGTAAAATATTACTTGTATATGAGTATAGTATTTCACACATATGATAGTGAATGCCTTTGATCGGCCATGTGATGGGAGAAGACTTTGGGACTGGTCGGTCCCAGACCGTTCTGGTTTCACAGTCACTGATTAATAAGGCCCACACGAAAAGACAACCAACTCTTATCAGGTTGAGCCCATTTGGGCAAACAAGTAAAAAATAGAAAAGAGATACAAATTGTTGCCTTTTGCCTTTGTCGGCTAGCGCCTTAAAGGACCCCACCGGAGGGCGTGGCCGTCTTCAATTTCGAACAATGTGCCTAAAAATGTGGAAATTCTTCAATTTAAGTCCGCAGTCAACTTTCACTAGCCCTTTTCTAACTGCCGTAGGTCCCTTTTTCTGGTCTGCTGACCATGAAAATACTTAGCTGCTCCAGCTACTCACACTAATTTTGGTTCTGGTTCTGGTTCTTGTTTTGGTTCGCTTTTTTTTGCTATTGCTGTTGCTTTTGTCGTCTTCTGGTTATACAATCAATAAAGCGTTGACATTGCGTTGCGAGAGTGCGTGAAAATGATAAAGGATGCCCCGACGCCGTCAAGTGACAAGTCGACTAACTCGCCAACTCACCAACTGCAAAATCAGTTCTTGATTTACTTTACTACCAAAGGACAACAACAACAGTAACAAATAGAATATCAGCTTGTGCAACAGGAGAAGGTTCAAGGACACGCCACAGTCGTAAATGTCACAGCTGTGCGCTTTTATCACACAATTCGCTGATAAATCTCAGCCGGAGCAGTCGGCACCAACTTCAAATTAAAACATTCCTCACAAGTTCTCCAAATTCGATATTCGACATTCGACATTCGCCATTCGGGATTCGTCTCGGCGAGCTCCAAGTTCTCGACAGCATCACAAAAATCTGCAAGTGCTTTTATTACTTGACTATTTTTTCATTCTATCCTTCGTTTTTTTGTCTTTGTTAGTTTTCTCTTTCCTTTACTTAATACCCTGCAGTGGACAATTATTAAATGTACAGATGAGAAATCTTATTTGAAAACTCTTGATTTAATTTAAACAAAAAATAGAAAACTTTTCACTTCAATTTTAGTTTTTACTTATTTTTACACATAGACTTACACTTGCTCACACTTTTGCATATTTCTACAGGGTATCAATTAGGTAATACACTTACTTGATCAAATCAAAGTTTTCTCGTATACTCTCACTAGTTCCAGCGAGCCTCCTTAGGGGTTTTCACTATTTCCAGTCGTCGTGTTGTATTCTTGGAATTTATGCGACTTTGCAACACTTGTCGCAGTGCTTGGCAGTTAGCCTGATAAAAACTACCCAATTTGACCTCTGGCTTGTTTGCTCAGAATAATTGGAAAAGTTGTGCAGTATCAATGTTCGAATGTTCGACTAGGCCGTAACATTATTCACAATGCATTAATTCAGATTCAACGAGAGTTTTCGATATCTTTGCTCTTGGTTATCTATAATTGCACTGGGCAGCTCCTCATCGTCTCCTTCTTCCTCTTCGTCTGCAACTTTTGGCCAGAATAGTTGCTGACTATTTGTATCCAGAGCTACACTCTTTAACACATTCTCTCCAAATATCTCTCTCTCTCTCTCTCTCTCTCTCTCTCTCTTGTGCCAACCTCTCTCTCTCTCTCATTTCTTTTACTACCTGCCACGTGCGTGCTTTAGAATTTTATACGATTTTCCTAATTCAATTTCATTTTAACGATATCTTTTTTTCTTGATTTCTTGTTCTGTCTGTTTTTGGGTTTATTTTTTTAATTCACTGTTTTCAACACCAAAAAGGTTGTATTGGGTTTGTTCATAACTTAACGCCACATTAAAACAATTTGTTCTCTATGAGTAAATGTTTTTTTTTTATTAGTCTCTTGATAATCATAAAAAGTGAAAATTGCTTCACTTAAATCAGGAGGAATGTCCCCCAACTGTGGACAGGATATCTCGAAGTGGGAAGCATTCAACTTTTTCTATCTGTTTTTTTTTGTCAATTTGCCGTGTGAAAAATTAATTTATTTGATTTGCATTTCAATTTGCTGAGCTCGACTTTTTACCTTACCTTAGAGCAAGCTGCTCAATTTTAAATTTCGTTGGTTTTCGGTACACGTTTCTCCTCTGCGTCTTTTCCAAGTCCCCCTCAAAGTGCAGTGCTTGTACAACTGTAACGGTAACTCTAACCTTACTCAATTGTGTTTATCGCTAATGAAGTTGCCACATCCTGTTCATTGAGGCGAATTGGTCAAAAATGTGGTATTCCGTACTGTGTATCCCACTTCCCCCCTCTCCACGCTAAGCCGTAACCGACGTAACCCTCTTTAAAGAGGGGCATCATCGACAGGGTTGAAAATCGCTGCTGCTGCTTGACAAATGCTGCGGCAGTGAAGCATGCAACGAGATATTGATGGGGCGACATGGAGGGGGCGACACTCTGAAGAGCCCTCAGCTGAACGAGCGATGCTCTTCAGTCTGTGTGTGAGCGTATGTGCGGGTGCCTGAATTGGTGATGTATTGAAATTATGAAAAGGGCACGGCTGTTCACGTCATGGAACGCGACACGCTGACAATGAGCCACATAAAAGCGAATCAGCGGAATGAGGATTGAGTGTATGCGAGTGGAGGAGTCGACAGAAGAGAGGAGTGGAGCGGAGAGGAGCCTAGAGCTCGCCTCGAACCCACCTCACACAGGCAGACAGACAAGCGATTTGAATAAATGACTTTTCGCCAGGCTCCCGTAGCAGTGTTGCCAACTCTATTTTTATTTCATTAACTAAACTAACTAAAATCATTATAACAGTAAGCTACTTTTGTAGAATTTTTAGAATTTTAATTTCTTTTAATATTATTATTTTTTTTTATTAATATTCGTTTTATTATAGTTTATTTTTATAGCTTTTGGTTTAAAAAAAAATGCACTCTTGTCAATTTTATTTAGTTCAAAATTGTATATGGAAGTGGTCGGAAATGTGTTTAAAACGTTCGCTCCATTAATGTAACAAAAATGTGAAATTAAAAAAAGAAACGCACAAGTTGGCAACTCTGGCGAACAGTGCGTGGTGTGCTGTAATGTAAAGTTCCGTGTAAAGCGGAAGTTGCCAAAGTATCTCAACATCCGCTACCATCGTTCTATCTCTCTTTCTGCCTCACTGTCTCTCTCTCTCTAGCTCTCTCACTCTGTGTGTGGGCATCTGCCAATTGTTGCAATGAGAGTGCAGCATACGGCAAACTTTTTCATATTACATTCATTAGTTCCCTCAATTATTTGCATTAATAAGCAGATCCACATTAATTAAAACGGTTCCAACTATTAAAAAAGAAGGGCAGCAATAAAGCAAAAAAACAAAAAGGGAAGAAAATTAAGATAAAAAAATGACTGCGCGACTTTCGCACGATTAATTAGAATATGGCAGGCAGGCAGAGGAGTCAACTTGCCCCCTTGTTGCACTGCCCCCTTTCCATTACACTTCGCCCTTGCTGCGTCGGCCAAGTGGAGCAGCAAGTGAACCACAACGACGAACGCGGCGAGCACTCGAGCCATGCAACGCGATACGACATTAGTTGCATGCCACATGTAGAGTGTAGTGCAGGGTGTAGGTGGCACGTCTGACTGGGCAGCTGTGTCTCAGCTTCTCCGTTGACCCCCCGCAATTAGCGGCAATTGTTGCAAAAGAAGCACAAAGTCGCGGGTCAGCTTTTTTTTACATAGGCACGCATCGCTGAGCTGCAGCTTGAAGTGTCCACTTGACGGGCAGAACAAGCGACTTGGTTTGGTTGTAGTCTGATGTCTGGCTTCGAATGTGGCACAGCCACACCAAGACCAGCATACAGCGCTTGCTGAGAGTGGGGCAGCCAAAAATTCAGGCAATTCTTTGATCTATAAAGTGCTTATCAAACTCAAAATTACATTTATTTATTTTCATTTGAAAAATAGCGGAGAACAAAGTAAATTGCCATTCCGAATTTCAAGAGTTTGTCATACGGAATGTAAATTATTTAATTATGCATGTTTAGCTCAAATTAAGAGCTGCACACTCAAAATGAGAATTTGTTTACCAAGAAGGAGAACACGAAATGGGAGGTTAGAAGATAATAATAAGTTTGTTCTTTCCAGAATGTATTTCTGGCTTAAAATTTTTATGTTCTGTTCACTTTTTTTGCTTGATTTTAGTTTGACTTTTTTTGGAACTAACTACTATTTCAACATATTAATCTTTTTCCATAAATAACAAATAGTTTAGAGCTTAGCTCATTCGAGCAACGATTTTATTTTATTTATTTATTTTTTTGCACTCAACTAGTTTCCTAAATTGGCACTTATTTATTTACTTATTATAAGCATTTTAGCTTGGTTGTGTTTTCATTTATATGAACACAAATTCTAAATTTGCCATTTTTCACATGTTGCTTTAATTATGCAAATACAACTGACAGCTTTATTATAGTTCGTAGATAGTTATTAATATTTTTATTTTTTGCCAAAAAATAATTATAATTATTGATAATTATTGGTGAACGCAAAAAGGATTATATGTATTGAAATTTATTGACTGCCAATTTTCTAACAAGCTGCATAATTTTATTCGATTTTTAAGCTTAAATTTATGTTAACCCTTTAAAGGCCGAATTAAATTCGTGGATTTTATAATAATTACATAATTCTCTCAATTGTTGCTGTGGCAAGTGGCAACCACATTTATGAGTAATCATTTGATATGCGACTGCAACTGATCAATCTTTTTATTATCTACTCTCTTTGCAGATGTTGAAGCACGTGCAAATCTCTCCGTTGAGGAATCGCTCGGATTCGCTTTCGCTGCGCTCCTCGAGCAATGTTTCCTCGTGCGCCAGTTCCATTTGCGGCAGTCCGGAGCCGCCGCAGGATATGCAAAGGACGCCTTCGCGCGCCTCCAGCTATTCAAGTCTCAACGAGCAGCTGCCTCAGGTAATTTATAAAATACGCCACTCACATTTAAACTGCGACTAAGTGAGATATTTTTATGTTTTAGACAACAATTAAGGTTTACACAAACTGCCTGAAGATTGACATTGAATACAAGACACTGGGCATTCAGTGGGACACCACCAGCAAGGAGGTGATTGCTCAGCTGCTGCGACGGTAAGTACTAAATGAACAATCATTCCTCAGGCAAACTAAACACTGACTGTATTTTTATTTCATTCCCTTTTAGCCTGAAGATGCGCCATCGTGACCCGCGACTCTTCTATCTGTCCATGGAGGTGGCTGTCCGGCGAGCTGGTGTGAAGACCATACTCGTCCTGGACGAGGACACCCGGCCAGCCATTATGCAGGCGTGCCATCCCAAGGGCGAGTCACGCTTCTGCCTGCAACTGAAGCCGGGCGGCCTCATCCGGGTGCACACCTCGGCGCTCCAGCCGAGCTCCCAGTACAAATCGCTGGTCATCAGCGAGCAGACGAGCTGCGATGAGCTGCTCCAATTGCTGTTGGGCTGCTACAGTTCGCTGGAGCCCGTCGAGAACTTTGCACTGTACGAGGTGTGTCCGGGGCAGGAGTGTCAGCGCAAATTGCATCCCGACGATCTGCCGCTGCGGGCGCAAGCGGAGCGTCTGCGGCGTGGCGAGAGTTGCCACTTTCTGGTGCGACGCACGCCCAACTATGCGAGACGCCGTCAACTGTTGGCCAATCTCAACGTGGCCATCAATCAGAGCTATGAGAGCGATGTGTCGTCATCAGTTGTTGTTGCCGGCGCCGCTGTGGAAGATGCGGATGCCGATGTGGATGTGGATGCTGTTAGCCTGCTGGAGCTGTCGCTGGAATCGGATTTATCGCTGTCCGAGGATCTGCGCAGCTGCAGCAGCAGCAGCGAAGATGCCGAGGAGGATGATGAATGCGCCAGCAGCTCGGGCTCCTCTGACACATCCACCGAGTGCACGCTGCGTCGCCACTTTATTCAGCGACACACGCCCACCTCCTCCGCCACGCCCACAGGCAGCACTCGTGCCTACAGTCCGGTCTACAACATACGCGAAATTCGCACGGCAACGCATTCGTTCTCCTCGCTGGGCAAGGACAAGAAACTGCTCGATATTCATATGAATGCACGCTATGCCCCATCTGGAATCTACAGTCGCCTGCTGCCCGTCGCCGAGGTGGACAACATGCTCGATGTCAATGGCAACCCAACAGCAACAACAGCAACATCAGCAGCAGCAGCAGCAGCTACAGCAACAGCAACACCAGCAGCAACAACAACAGCTGAAGCTGTTAACAATAATCCGGCGAAGGGTTTGGGCCACTTTGTCTATTTGTAGCAGTCAAGCTTTGCCTTGTGTACATAGAGAGCTCTAAATAAGAATTATTAAGAATTAACCCCCCCAAAAAACGAGTACCGTTTGGACCAAAGATGCATTTCTAGACTAAGTTTCAAGCAATCAATCAATCAATCTCTGTATATGTATTTAGTAAGGCGCCTATCGACAACTTTTTCGAGTGAATCTGAAAGATGTTTAATCATAGGTTACAAAAGGAGTCTATAGCTTAGGGTTTTAGTCTCGCAGCTAAAGCTAACATAAGTTTAAGATCAACAAATCTAACAACTAAGATACTTGTAGAAACCAAAAGATATTCAAATAATACCACACACACACACTCACACTTACACTCAAATGTATATTAAAAAACCAAAAACTACAAAAAATGATTGCGTTTTATTTCTTATGGAAAACGAGTATTATAACGAGATGGGTATAATAATTAAGAAGAGGTCTTTCAGCTAACAATACGAGCACATATTAATAGATATTCTAATATCCGGTAAAGATTACATTTTCCCAAAACTTTTTTGAGTTTTTACGGTTACGTATTGCATTTTTGATTTTTACTGCTCGCTAAAACTATTGAACAAAAAATAAGTGGGAACTTTTTAATCGGGTGTTACTGACTGCAGAATACTCTGACTGCAGAATACCTGATTGAAGGTAGCATGTAACCTTCTTGCATTTGACAAAAATAATATGATCGACTTCGGACTTTAAGTTTATAATGAAATCGAGGGGTCTGCAGTTGGACTGAGGTCTGCAAGCGTATTTATCTTCGTTTTTCCTGATATACTCTACACTTATTCAAACTGGGCAAAAGGGGTATAATGAATGATGCATAAGTATGTAACAGAAAGGAAAGAAGAAAGCATCTCCGGTCCTAGACTAGCTTTATATGGCTAAAAGTGTTCAGCTTTTACGATTATTATTATTTATTCTTCGTGAGTATTTTATTCCAAGTAGTCTCTGCTAACACTAAACTAAACTAAACACTATCTGTTAATTTACTGCTGCCTGCTGCTGCTTGAACATAAGGTATATATATATATATTCTAGATCAGGATCATTTCATGTGTACAAGCGGTTATCAGAAGTAGACTCTTCAAATGTGGCGCATAACTTCTAAGTAATGGGATCTAAATCAGGATCTTCGAAAGAAATAAATTCAGTTCCGTTATTTATTTTTTACAAAAATGTTTCATTTCGGTTCTGATTCAGATTCGAAATTTGAATCGATTCCGGTTTGACATGCTGGCTTTCGTCATGCTCCATGTGGCGAAGTTTTAAAGTTGGGCAGGGTATTTTCAAAGGATGCAAGGTGCATTTTAATTCGATTTAATGCAGGCGAAAAAGAGACGAAGACAAACGCCAATCAGCCATATAAATAGGCAGCACTTAATACGGCGGCCGGCCACGTAATTTGTATTTAAAAGTCGGCCAACGACGAGCTTAACATGAATGATTTACGGCCTTTAAAATATATATATATACATATGTGTGTGCAATTTTATATATATGAACAATTTTCAGTGCTCTCCTTTTCTTGGAAGGACTTGTGAAAATTGAAGGCACTGACAGCAGAATCCGAGCCGCTTTTCACTTAATCAGACAGGCAGCCACTCAAATTACACACATTATCAAGATTTTGTTTGTTTGGGCCATTAGTGACCTTTTAAGGGCACTCTTGGGCCTCCCCGAGCAAAGTAATTTATTAAGAAAGGTCGCTGCACTGAATTAAAAACAAGCAAATTGCCTATAAAATCCAATTTGTTGTGGCCTAAAATAATAATAGCTCAGCGAAGGATACTAAAAGTTTTCGCTTTAAGTATTTTGTTTGTTTCAAAGCTATTTTTTTTTACAATCGGCTGCTTGGAGCGGGAGCTGTTTGAGCGGGGCTGCGGGGCCGGAGGATTAACTTGAAAATTAGTATGCACCAATGCAAAGCTTATCAAAAATGCACAACCCACTGTGCGGGAAGTGGGGAAAGTGTAATCGCGGGATGCCAGCTGTGCAGCGGAAGCGGAAATGCTGCGGAGACTACGCCGTAGTCGGCTGACTTTCCCCACTTAATAACTTAAGCGCTTTTTAAGTCGAATTTAAAATTTTTGTCTGCTTGCAACTTGCAACGATAGCTGCCCCATCCTGCCCAAGCCACCCTCAATCCCCCTGGCCTCTGGAAGCTAACACAGGCAGCGATAAATAAAAAATATTCAGGGAACTGAGAAATTTCACTGAAATGATCTAAAATGTCTGCTAGTTGACGCTTGACATATGATAGAACTCAAATTTATGGCCAGTCGATAAAGTCGCCCACGAAACGCCCCATACGCCTGCCTTCCTTTTCACGACCTCCCTCTTGAAACAGTTTCACCCATCCCTGCTGGCAATAATAATCGAAACTTTTTTTGGACTGAAAAACTGTTCGAACATGAAATGTCAGTTGATTTTCCGAACTGCTGAAAAGTATGCAGAGGTATTTTTACGATTTATAACATTGTTCCGCACGAAAGTATGCAATGATATTTGTCGAATACAATGCGCACGAAAGTATGCCGTTTTATTTTTGAATGCTTTTGAATAGTTTTTGTACTAAAGTATGCATTAAAATATGTGTATTATATTAAAAATAATTAATGTGCTACGTTTTTTCCAGAGCCCTTAAGTAGCGGATTACTCGGCGCAAACAGCATACAACACAATACCAACGCCCACACATACACTACCACAAGCACACACACACACACAGACAGAGAGTAACGTATTATTCACGTAACTTTTATTGAAAGTGAGCTTAGCTCGTTTTGTAACTCGTTCAACTAATTGCCATAATCTGCTTTGTAAGAGTCTCTTTTTTAATAATGTTCGATCCGGTTTTGTGTGCTTTGTTTTTACACAACTAATCGGCTTAGTAGCGCAACTACTGGGCGGAAGTATATCCAACAGTTATGCAAACTTGCGTTAGTATAGCCATTAACTTCTTTGAGTGATGTGCCTTTCCGGGACTACAACACGTTGCCCACCCACATGGAGTTAACGCGCAGTTGTTGGTAAAAATTTCTTTACCCACATAATAATTGATTAAAATGGACCACCCGTTGGCTTTTTAATTGGAATCCTTTTGCATCACCGAGAGATACAGATAGAGAGACAGAGCGAGTGGGATATGTCCTTGTAACAGCATAACTTATTCATACGCCATGTGGACACGTGTCCACTGCCTGACTGCAGTTAATACAACAATGCAGGCAATATATTGCAGCCTCGCTTATTAATTGTCCGATGATCCAGGGCACATAGTCTGTGACATGACTTCAGTGAGGGCTCTGTACTGACATTAGTCTGCATGTGCTTGCTATTCTTGCTGTTCGCCAGTCTCAATGTTCAACATCAGTTTCATTATTGCCATTTAGCTTGCAGTTGACTTGCACGAAGCTTCGACTTTTCTCATTCATACTCTGTAAATGGAGAAATGTGACAAAGGGTATTTATGTTGCTAAAATGTTTGCACCAGACACAGATAAACAACATCGTCGGGAATATATATGTGACATTACAAACTCTGTGTGTCAATTAAAACTTTTTATAGATTGAATTGGGAAATCCGATATATGTAGTTTAATATTGTTGTTTTAAGTTAAAGTACTCAAAGAGACTTTATGCACATATAATTATTTAAATTAATATACACCTCTGTGGATTTCAGTGCGGAGCATCTGTTAGTCGCACACACGCCTCCATTCGACATGTTCTGCTTCAGATTTTCTGTTGTACACGCAAAGAGAGACGCACACGCATTGACACCCAGACACACATACACACCCACACACACTCTCACACACATGCACACCCACACACACACACACACACACACACACACACACACACACACACACACACACACATGAGAAACATTTTTCATCAGTTTTCGTAAACTTTTTGGCTCAGCTTTTTCGACTACTTTGTCGAGCTGCTGCTGTTGGCTGTTCGCCTGGTACTTGCATTTTTAAATTTCTGCCATTTTTTGAGATTTTTATTTATTTTTGTTTTCGTTTTGTTTGGCAACTCCTCCTCTCATAAGGCTGGAGTCGGCAGACAGCCAGAACGTATCGTGGCCACATGTTGCCATTGGTGGGACACAGTGCGTATGATTGATGCTGCCAGCATCAACTGTTCGCATATGTTTTATTAAGTTATTGAAAGCTGGGCGTGGCCCACTTGCCCGCAGACACACCCATACACCCACACACCCACAAGCGGATGACGTTTGCATTTATCATACGGAGCTTATCTTAAACGCAATTTGGGTGCAGTTTCAGTGATTTATGCCAATTCGCAGCCACTCAAGTTGCTTTTAATTATGAGAAATTGTGCGCTTCACTGAGCTCAGGCTGACTGAAATCCTTTGAGGCGCCACTTAACACAATTTATGGTCATTTTTGCATAACAAAGGACGACATAACAAATGGCCAAAACTAACAAGTGCCTCGCGTAGATTTCGTGCCAGACAGCACTCCATGGATTTTTAGTGTAAAACGAGAATTGTTTTCTTTTTTTTCTTCTTTTTTTTGGATTGTAATTTAAGTCAAAGCCAGTCGCCTGATAATTGAGTTTTCACGGTTTCGCTTTGTGGTTTGCAGTAGAGACTTTTAGTGGATGCACTGCAGCAGAAGTCGAGTTGCACCAGTTGACAAGCGATGAACTCGTCGAGTGCCAAACAAATCGAGAATAAAAACCTGGAAAATGCATTTTAATTCATTCTCTCTGCAGTATTAATTTTATTTCCTGAGAGCAGAAAAGCCGCTGAAAAAAAATTGAATGACTGTCACTAGAAAGTTGAAAGTAGCTTAACTGATGCCAGTTGCCCGATGAAGAATTGATGGTGTGTTTATGGTGAGTAAAAGTAGCATAACAATATTTTAGTTTTGAAGTTGAATGTTATCTTTTTATTCCGTAGCCTTGTCAACTTTGCAACTGACTTTCGACAATCGCTTGATTTACATAAATAATGTAAAAATGTATATAAGTTAGCAGCTGCTTTTCTCCCAACCAATCAAAATGAAAGTCACACAGTCCTCTTCAATTTCACTCACTGCATTCCTTTTACACTCTAAAGTATTTGACTGTGTTATCTGTAAATGCACTTAGTGTTAAGTTGCCATCAATATAAGTGATGTGTGTGAATAAGGAAATGCCTTAAGGATACCAGTCGTTGCGAGAAAGCTCTTTCCATTGTGTTGTTTTCTTGGTGAATGGACGGTTCCTTTTGGATTCACTCTTACCACCAAGCAAATAAAATTATTACGGTATACTAATAAAAGAATATATTTATAAAAATAATAATAATATAAAAATAAAAAATAATAATAATTATTATATATAAAAGCTATAAATATAAATAAATATCTGCCCGACCTCAAAAATTCCATAAGAAATGTGTATTGTATTTTAGATAATTTATTCGTATTGTTTGTATCACTAGAAATTTAGAGCGCTTACAATCAAATTATGGACACACAGTGTGTCCTGAGATATAGAAATATTTAAATACAATTTACGAGCTAAGTGTATTCGCTCTAGGTCCTTAAAAAGTTGTTGTTGTATTTTATTTGGTTTTAGCCTGAACGAATGCGGCATTTAAAAACTGGCTTAGCTTATTATACAACTTGACAATGATAAACACTATGAATAGATTAATTTCATTTGCATTTTAATTGCTAATCCAACCAAGCAATGGGGCTTTTTAGAAAATCACAATGAGTTCACCGCTAATTACGGCGATGAGCGGATTCCGATGGGTTCTACGAGCGACGGCCGAAGAGCTTGAAGTGCGTCTTCCAGCAGCTTGGCCATCATAGCTGCTCGTTGCCAATGTGCGTGGTATCCGTGGGCAGCGAATGCGTCTACAGATATACATATATATACATACATACATAGGGAAAGTGTTTTGGGGTGGTGGGTGGTAAGTTCGAGTATTATGCAATGTTTGCTATGTGCTCACCTGCAGCGCCTTGCGCTTGTGATGCATCGATGAGTTGGATGATGACTTGCCCTTGCCTTTCTTCCAGGAGCAGAGCAGAAGCTCCTTCATGCCCTTGCGAAAATTGCGACTGAGGAACGCGTACAGCAGAGGATTAACCCCCGAATTGAAGTACGTGACCAGAAAGGTGAGAGGCGTAAGCAGCGCATTAAAATTGGAATCACCGCGATACGAACGTGACCTGTAAGTATATAAAAATTATTTGTGCATATAAACCATGTTTTAGACATATTTATATAGTTAATGCAACACTTTAATTTAAAGAACTCCAGCAAATAGCTGCTTAACCAACCTGACTACTGCTGTTATAATATGCCCTTTCTTACAGCTCTCAAAAGTTTTGTTTCAGCATTGCTTCAACAACATCGTAGTTTTACAAGATCCAAAGTTTTGGTCAAGTTTATCTAGTGCCGTCTATGTTTTTAGCGACTGTCTCCTAACTGTTGGCACTACTCACAGGGTATATTTGAATAGATTTTTATCTTTGCTGAAGTTGCTTGAGAGCAAAGTTTTTCGGCTTCTTCAAGTGGGCAGGCAGAGTTTGTTAAGTTACTTGCAAAACAGTTGTTAAAACAGACGACAGACTAGTGAATACCCTTGCATTTGAGGATTTTTTATTTTATTAAATTATTAATAAAATACAAAACTAAATGCTTAAAAACATAATATAAATATTGTTTCCAAGCTCTTAAACTTCATTTGGATGAAAATACAAGCTCTTGGTAATTAGTAATTAGTATAGTAGATGTTTGGTCAAACTAATTCAAACACAGCTGATCACTCAATATCAGCTGTCAATTTATCGCGGCTTTGCATAACACTGGTGGAACTTATTCACTTATGTTACCAATACTTGTAATTTTAGTGAATATCGATAGTTCACTATCGAATTAGCAAAAGTTGTAAATAAGAACAAGAACAAGCAATACTCGCACAGATGTTTAAGTACACCTAAATACAGGGTATCTTATAATCACTTGCGAGTTTAGTTTTCAAAGTGGACAAACGCAAACTTTAACCAAACTCTCCAAATGTATTTTTTTTACTTCGTTGTTTGTCCGTTGACAATTTACGCTGCAGTTACACCTAGAAATAAAATAAGAGGCGTAATAAGGGGCGTGACCAGCTTATTGGCAGAGCGCTTAGCCCTTATTGTTGTTGTTTGCCAAGTGGCATTACCAATTGACTTGCAAATTTTAAAGTCAAGTACGAAATGGGTCTAATTTGGCACCCCAAGCAACAGCGTCCACGACTGACCAGCAGATGTCACCGCATGGGGTGACCATTTGGTGACCCTGGGCAATCTAAATAATATGCCGGCATTAGGCACGGTTTTAATGGGCGAGCGACTCAATCAGCTGCCAGCTGTGCGTTGACTAGAGAGTGCGTCGCCTAGCCTTGCCAAATGCTTTCTTGGCTAATAACGAGCACGTGCCACAAAACGCGCCGCATGTTATTGTCTGGAATCATTTAATTTATCTATGCAAATATAACGCAATAAATGAAAGTACGAGTATTAGAAGTGGCAACACGTGGCAGCATTGAATGCCTCCAACGACACAGCCCCATAATGATTATTGAGGCTGCTTTGCTTAATGGACCAGAAATAACTGAATATATATCGCAAATTGTATATAAATCATCTCATCTTGGGACATGAAGATAATCAGAAGATTTTAAAAGTGTCTTCTAAGAAACAGTTATAAATAGAAAATGAAAATTTGAGCTTCCCTATACACTAAAAAAAAAGTCGCATTGACTTCCCAATGAGCTCCTCCGACTCTTAAGCTGATAACAACTGAGCTCTAACATTCCAGTCGAGACAGCCAATTTCATAACTTTTCTAAAAGAGGTGTTTTTCTACTTTTTTTCTAAATAAATAAAAATTAAATAAAATAAATAATAAATATAATATATTTGTAAGAGATATAAAAAGCCATAAGGTATTTTATTTCTTTAATTTAGAAATTGTTTTTAAAAGCGAGACAAATTTTAGTTAACAGACCGATTTTAGTTTAACTTGATTTTCTATTCACGTCAATTTTATAAGTGACAGATATGCGCTTGATAAGCTTTTAAATAGCTGTTCCGTTGAACTAGATGTCTTCTTATTTTCAGACAATATATAATAGTTCCACTTAATTTATTAACATTATTTTGTTATTGTATAAAAATCTCTGAAAGAATTCCAATAAATCAATCGAAAACTTAAGTTGACCATTTATTATTATAACTGAATCAACAATGTACTTTTTCTCATATGTTGTTATTTCTTTAGAAAATAATAAACTTAGCTTCTGGTCACAATTTATTATACTTGATTGTTTTTTTTAAGATTTACAACCTCGCCGCAAGGCAATTTCTCGAAAACATAGTATTTAATGCATATATACAGAATACTGAATAATAATTTAAATGAATGTGGAGCAAAATAGCTGAAATGCATTTTCCGGCCGAATTTGTATTTGTACATTTTACAAAATTTTTACGAGCATGAGAAATTTATATTTTGGGCTTTTGCGGTCACTGGAAAGCGTCTAAATAATATTTATTTTTGCGTGCAGCAGTTAGGCAATGTACAAAATTCCAGCTAGAATTCTCGTTAGTCGCTTGTCAGCCAAAATAATTGAGATTTATATTGAATTGGCCTGTCGGAAACATGCTTTGATAAATGTTTACTTCGTGTCATTTTCCATATAGATTTCACATTATATTTTCATTTATTTCAGTTATTTGTATGCGACTTTAAAGCCTTGGCAGTAATTTCTGTGGGCGTTAAACGATTTGTTTCGAATCATTTGGCCAGCTGTCACGATATTGCTGTCCAGCCAATCACCGTACCATTGGCCATTGGATCCCGCACTCAAACGACCATAAGCTGTCATATAATGGAAAAATCAAACAAGTCCCACAGAACACGAAAGAGCAATAGGACAATATAAAAGCGAGAGGCGAGCACGAAATTGAAATGTTTGAATAGAATGGCACAATGTCAAAGAAAAAGCCAAACAAAAACAATAACACATTCATCTCGAGCAGGGCAATATCAGAGTGGCCCGGTATTTGTGTGTGGGCAGCAGAAATAGGAGCATCCATAAAAAGAAGACACATTGAGACCTTCTTTTTTTTATATTTTGTCACTTCTGACTGCGATGTGCACATTTCTTTTTGTGCAGTAATTGTTGCTGGTGATAAAAATTGCCAGCAAGTTTCCAGCTGATCACTCAAATTCCCCCAATTCACACACATAATTCAAACTGAATGCTCAAATATTCGATTAAAAAACATATTTTGATTTGCCGAAATATTTCAAAGTTGATGGACGGCACGTCACAGGCAAAAACTAAATGAATATTTGGAATTGGTTCAGAATTTGACTGGCTGCAGCCCGATTCAGTCTCAACTGGTCGATTTTGGCAGACACAAAAAAATATTTAAAACTCTTTAAGAAATTTAATGCGTTTTTTATATACAAAAATACAATGATAAAAATTAAAATAAAATGATAAGTACAATATTATAAATAGTATTCTAGAATTATTATTTTATTAATTATTAACTTTATAATTTCGAATCTGCGGCATTATATATCAAGTTAGTTCTCATTAATATATATAATAATAGCTTCGTATTCTGCTGGGAAATTTCGTGATTTTAGTGAGTTTGTAAGTTGATAATTTTATACTTAGAAGGATATCTAAAGTTTAGTCGAATCATGTAACAAAAAAGAGCAAGGCGTAAGGGGTTAGAGCCCAGTTGTGTATACATCAATTAAGGCAGCAGGTTGGCAATCAGGCTTGGCTCCCTCCAATTGACTATTAGGTTGAAGAAGTACGAGAATTATTTATGGCACGACAGATGGGCACACGCTATATGCAAATGACTGTCACCATAAAAAACCGAAATGTATGAGGGATGGTGCTGGAGAGGGGTGAGAAGGGTGAGGGGAGGATGACAAGGGAAGTTGTCGCGCAACTGTAGTACTCACCAGTATTGCCACATTTTGCGCGCATGATACGGCAGATTGCAGAGCGCGAATGTCAGCACAAATATTATCAGCATGCGGACCACGCCTCTACGCGCCCGTAACACATTGCTCGATGAGTGTGACATGTGTGCGGCACCACCAGCACCGCCTCCACCACCGCCTCCAGCAGCACCACCACCATTGCCCTGCCGTTGATTGTGCGTGTGGGAGTGATGATAGAAGCTCGTTTTGCGACAGGCACTAACAATTGGACGATCCGACTCCAGTGAGACCTGCATGAGTAATGAATATCTCTCAACATTGGGCATATATTTGAACCGTGTGTCTGTGGAAGCACTAGGTACTACGGCTTAATGACTGACTAACAGAAATACCCACCTTGCAATTATCAAGCTAATTTTTTGGCAAGTGTGTTGTGTTATTGTTATTGTCGTGTGGTTAGTAGAGAAGGCAAACCAAAATTGGATGTTGTTATTGTTGTGGGGGGAAAGAATACCAAATAAAAGAGACAGGAGAGAGAAAATTCAAACATAAAGATAGTTAAGAAGTTAGCTTTGGATCAAAGTCATAAATTAAGTATAATATATTCTATATAGATATATTTGGGAATCTTAAAAATAAGATAGTTATCATTGTTAACTTGATTATATTAAGATAATTCATATAAGTTTGCTGAAAATCGTTCATATTAACGATTACTGTATTATCATATATAATCGGAGTTATCGTTTTAAGTAAAATAAGCAAACAAATATATGTTCTTTGACACTGCCTAGAGATTAGTGTTGAATATTTATTTATTACAAACAAGTATTATTTATTTATAGTATTATAAGTATTATTCTGATTAATTTGTCCTCAAGAGATATATTTATAAAAATAGATTCTATTGTTGTTCGCTTTTACACTCCACCTAACATAAATTAAACTTTGCCTACTCCATCGGCCCCGCTCGTTGCTGTGCAGCCAATTAATGTACATAAATCATTGGATTACTAAGTAGATATTGACATGGCAACTGCCGAAGTTCTTTCACATTTATCATTGGACTGAATTTGATGGATGACCCATATCGAAGTTTGATTGTTGTGGATGGACGTATAATCATTTGCTTCTCGCCAATAATGCCAACTGGCTGGACAGGAGCGCCAATGATATTAAATAAGTGGCAAGCTAGAGTATTGCACATACGCCACGTTCTCCGTGGGTATAATAATGCAGTTGGTCAAACTAATTCATTTGTCAGTGGCTTACTTAACTTGCGGCACACAAAACTGCAAAACTTCAAAGCTGCAAACTTGTAGCCCCCACGCTCAATGATACCCTTAATTCAGTTTGACACCTGCTGCAACCAGGTATCCTCGCATCCTCACATCCTGGCATCCTTGCTTCCGCCTCTCAGTCAGTGGCAAGCAAGTTATTCCAAGTTGGCCGATACGCAATTTTAGCTGAAACTTGCCCTAGCTCCCGGTCAACTTCGGCAAATATTAACTATTATGGGTAACAGCGAACTACTTACAACAAAGTGAAAGCAAAACGAGCACTCCAAATTTGTTGCTAATGCATTTTAAGCTAGGAGTTTCGAATAAATTGAGCTTTTAAGTGAAAACTGTATCAGGTACGTACAACCTTTGTAAATATGAGCTGTTTTTAGCAGCAGCGAACTGCTTACTTATTAAAACTGTCAGCAGCTGACACACCTAAAGTTCTCCCGTTCAACGTTCAACTTAAACAGAAAGCCAAAAGAGCGCTTCAAATTTGTTGCTAATGTATTTTAAAGCTTTCAATGTTCAAAAACTTTTTAGTTTTTCTTGACATTTCAAATTGCTAGACAACGTGACAAATTTTTGGACAGTCTTAAATCACTTGCCGTTGCTAAATTTTAGATTGTTAACTGAAATATTTATAATGTTTTTAAATTGGGGAATTAGAAGCCCTTTTTATGTCCCAAAATATTATATGATATAACTTTTGCAATGCATAAATTTAAATTAAATTTCGATCGCACTTCAAAATAGCTGGTTAAATTACAAATTAGCTAAAAATGTTTACTTATCTAGAATAACAATATCGGTAATAATTCCGTTTTCTATACAATTCAAATGTTGCATCGAATAAACATTGTATTCCCGAATCGTGTCATTTCATTTAATGTGTATTGGAAGTAATTATGAATAGTTGTTGTTTAGCTCGCTCCATTGGCAACTATATAGATATATATATGCTCGGGGGCATCGTTTTGGTTGCCGGGCAAACAGGATATGGCAATGCTTATTACATGCCAGTGGGCAGTTTTTGAACTCACCTGACTCTCAGTGATGCTGACGCCACGCTTTTCATATTTACTGCTTTGTTTACGTGACAAGGACGTGGAGCTGCTGCCGGAAGCGAGAGACGATGCTCCTGGTGCAGCCCCAGTGGCCGTTGACGCAGGCAGCTGCTGGTGGAGTTGAAGGTGGTGCGCGTGTGGATGCGGATGTGAGGCGTGATGATGATGATGATGGTGGTGATGGTACATGCTATTGTGCAGACTCATACTATTCTCCTGGCCGGGCGGATGCGGTTGTTGTTGTGTCACATGCGGACTCAGGCCCCTCGAGCTGCGCCACAAGGCGATGGCTATTTTGCTGTACAGCACCTGGCAGAGCAAATGCGTAAATCTTTGTACAATACAAATAATTAAATCTCAAGTAATCTACAAAATATAAAAATAATTGTTGAAATGCTGAATTCCGTTTAGCGTGCCTTGTTTCACGGACTAGAAACAGTTCTGTTTGATAGAAAATCACGCTACATTTGAAGCACATTTCAATGTTTGCCTAACATGTGGAATTTGGGCAGATGCCAAGCTCTTAAATGGGAAGGGACGCTCGTTTAAGGAATAACAATAATAATAATAACTTTTAATGGTGATTATATAAAATATGTTTTTATTATTAATATTAATAATAATATTATGATTTTTACTATTGCGTATTTTTGAAAACTTGTATTGATAACAAATTAGCACAGCATTAATAATAGAATTATTGAGAAAATATTTATTTTCCCAATTGAGAAAAAGTGTCTATTAATCTTTACATGCATTTTATAATTTGAATTGTTTATGTTACATAGACATGTTTAAATAATTATTTATTTATTTAATTTACTTTTAAACACTTTTATTATCATTAAATATGCTCACCGTCATGACCAGCAGGGGCATCACATAGAGCAGCACAAAATTAATCATGTCGAGCAATTTAGAATTGAACATTTCTCGATCGAGCACACAGATCTCCTCCTCCTGACCATCCTCGGTGTGAATGTTTTTGATGGTCTTGCTGAAAACGAACTTGGGCGTTGAGTAGACAGCCGATGTTATCCACACGGTGACAATGACCATCTGTAAGAATTAACTTCCCGATTAGACGATTATTTCCCAACACGCAAACAATTTGTCTAATTGATGAGGAACGAACAGCACCGTAAATTGTCATGCACAAAAGCCATTTAGATGTATTCATGCCTGAAGTTTAATTGCAGCTATTAGCATCAACAAACGCATATTTAGTTGTAAATAGCTTCATTGGCACAACTGCTCGCATTCATGGGTAATTTTGTCTGACAGAATGGGTCAATGTATGTATATGCCTGAGCCCAGAACTAAACACACAGACAGAGTCATATCAGTGTATGCCTCCTAATATGATAATTAGGTCGTTTCATCTCGCCTCACCCCACACGAGGCTCATTCAAAAAAGTTTTACTTTCAGAAAAGTTCTTGCCTGCCATGGCTTATTAAGCCCTTTGGCTTGCTGGCACTGCGGCAACTTTTTTGGGCTCAGTTTAATAAGTTTCATTAGCGTGCAAATTGCGGTCAAAATTAATGGGAAAGTTATTTGAATTAATATATTCGAATTGTGGCTGCCAAAATTAATGAACTGCGAAAAATCTTTCCTTATTTCTCAATGCAAATTAAATCATTTTCTTAAACAAAATTTTCATACACTTGCAAAGGGCAGCATATCTTTTTATCGGAAATTGCTCTAATAAACTCAATAATAACGTTTACTATTTAACTCATTCCACTTTTTTTTCCACTTCTAGCCTTTTGCGCTTTTGTAATAAAGTTCACTTTTAACTTAGTTTTTTAGGCACTTTACGCACTTTTTGTTAAATAATCCATCAGAAATTCCATCGATGACGTGACCCAAACAATAATGATAAGCTTTCCGATAATTCATTAAATTAGGGTCATTCGAATAATTATTTATAGTGCAATCAGTTCAATAATTCCGTTTCCTTGTTTCAACAAACATTATTAGGTGGCAATAAAAATCAATAATGTCGAGTCTGGTCACTAAAGAAGTACCCAGTGTCTATGCTACAATAGGCAATTTCTCTAGCTTTTCTGTATCTAAAAAAACTGGAGCTCAAAATCGATTTGGCAGGTGTTATGGCCATTAAAAGTAACTTACCCTTAGGCGTGCCGCAGTTAAGATTTGCTTGCAGGTTATTGGATGCACAATGGCAAAGTAACGCTCCATGCAGATGACGACCAGAATGAAAATGGATGCCGTATAGCTGAGAGAGTGCACAAATTGATACATGCGACAGAGGAATTCGCCGAAGACCCAACTGCAAATAATGTAGATATATTAAAAATTTACATACTTAAATGAATAACAATTTGTTTTTATCTTCAAAGTTCGAAACATTATTTATTGTAAATAAGCACAATTTGGCATCACAAAATTTGATTACAAAAATCGTAAGGACTGAGGAAGGGACCCATATAGGCTCTCACGGCGACAAAACACATAAAATATTATGGCACGCCCACCGCAAACTAATGCCGCATTAAGGTGTCATTTGTTGCCAGAGATTTTCTTCTTTTTATTGTTGCGAAATTTGAGCCTTAGGCTCATTGAGCTTGTATATTAACACGTAATTCTATTTTGCACGACTTGCGACTTGGGGGCGTATGTGATTGGACGTGATATGGGGAAAGAGGAAATTATTGTGCTTTCGTTCGTTGGTTGATTGTAAGTGAAATAGATTTATATATTGCCTTCTTTGTGGACCGAAGTATTAAAAATTATTTCTCTTAGAGTCTCTCTCACAGCTGAAGGGCATAAAAATGTTCTGGTACTTAAACATGCATTAGACTTGAAAGCTTTCGTATTTTTAATACGTGAGCAAAGGCAAAAATGTAGTGTTATTGTGTCCATCTACGATTGAAATTATCCAATTTTAAGGCATTAATCATTTCGAAAGGCTGACTTTCGACGTGACAAAGAACTAATACTACTATCAGTGTAAGTTACATAAATGTGATAAGAGAAGATGGTTATGTATTTCTATATTCTATAACAAAATATTGGTATGCAAATTAAATATGCTAATAGCCTGCATTAACCTTTTTAAATATTCGACTCCATTTTGCCACACACTCTGTGGATTTCACATACTTTTTCCACATGGTTTTCAACAATTCGGGGTCGTCCACAGAATGTGGTCAAGTTGTGTATAAATTGATGAGATTAAGTGCCTAAGGATTGTCATTTTCATAAGAGTGACAAGTGAGTGACATTTTCTGGGCAAATTTATTCAGTCGAAACCGACCTTTAATTAGAGAAATTAACATAAAATGTAAATAATTGAGAGGATTTCAAATAGTGCACAAAATAATATTGCAAATAATTGGAAAATTTCTAAAAAAAAAAAAAACAAATTTATGCGAAAGCGATATGTGCATATTTTACAGTGCTCAGTAAACCGAAAATATAAATAATATATTTACCGGAGATTTGCAGTTTATGAAATTTATTACTTTGATTTCTATAAAAAATGTGAAAATTTAATTTTGGTTGAAAATGAAATGAATGCCATTATTATGATAAACATATATACATTCGCGGGTATTGTTTATTATTTTATTTCAACTGATTATTGACTTATTCACCTAGACCGCAAACGAGCGTGTAACACGAAATAACAAAATAACAACCAAATCAAATACAGCAAAAAGTGAGCCCAAAGCAAATAAAAAAAAGAAATAAACCAGAATGCACTCGCCAAGAGGGTGAAAGAAATCGACTGCCGGATACCCTGCAGTCTGACATGGGTAATTATCGACCAAAATGTTGTTATAATAATTTGGTTTTGCAATTAATTGCAAACTAATTTCTGTATTTGGGTTATATTTTGAAATCTCTTTTGAACTTGTTACATTCATTTCATCATATATATATATATATGTACATTTATTTATATAAAAATAAATATATATAAAGTATATTTTAAAAGTCAAACCAAGCAATATTTTTTAATATTTTATTTTTCGCTTCACGACTTGAATAGTTTGTTAGCCATGCCGCATCAGATTAATTTTGTTCAATTTTAAAATATAACAAGGAATATTAATTTTGTGTAGTTCTTAAACTATTATCAGAGTTTAACAAACACAGATAGAAATTTTTTGCCAAACCAAATCAAAATCTATTCACTATGCTTTGTTGGCTTGAAAATAATCGAATCATTGTAAAATGCGAATAATAAATGACCAGCAAGAGCTAAGCTGAGCGTTACTAATACGCCATGTTGTGTGGCATTAAGAACAAAGCCAAGCGACAAAGTGAGCAGCATTCGTGCCTTGCCGACTGACTTCAGTTGTGTATGGTAAACAGTCGAAGGACACTATGCAGCGATTGTGTCAAAGGCAGACTTATGAAGTGCAAAGGCTCCAGCTGTTTCAAACTGCTTGTCAACACACCTTTTAATGACGTTTATTTATTACAATTGAACAACTGAAGATATGTTCATTATTTCCACTCGTACAAATATGCTATATGCACTTTATTTAATCAAGATCGTAAGTGATAAGTGTCTGCATTTTTCAACAAACAGCTTATATTTTCAATTGTTGTGCTGTTCCCTCTACTTAACTTATCCCATTTCTGCAAGTAGTGATTTTTGTGCACGTGCTGCACAGACAAACAAACAAACGCACAAATGTGTGTTGCACAAGTATCATTTATATTCTTGTCCAGGTAGCTTGGGAAACTCGTCGAGCAAAAGTTGCATAAGTATTACGTTACAACAAGAAAGATCGTCAATCTTATGCACGTCAAACCTTACATACCGGAGTCAAGCTGCCGACATCTACATTTTGTTTCGCACACTGATATAGTTTTATGTATTATAGACAAATTTAATTAATTTGTTTTCTGTTTCACGACTAGCTGCGAACTGAATTATCCACATTTGTGTAATTATATTGTATCAGGAAAAGCGACATGTATGTCTTTAGCCATCACAACGTCTCTCAAGTACAGATATATGTCAGGTTCAACAATATAGCTTTAAACATGAGAGAGTGCTGCATATTAAATAAAAGAAGGGACAGCCAGACTATATGCAGTCGCCCAAGGATACCAATTAAAAGCTTATACACCTTAATAGGTCAGATACGTTTTAAACTTGCTACCAAATTATAATACCGCTTCAGGGTATATGGAGGCAAAAATTATGTTAGATATGTAAGTTCTTTCATGCATAATAGACACTTTAGTTAAAAGTAACTTGGTTGGCTTACCACTTACCTGTCTATGAGATAAATGGACAGATTCTGCATTACACAAAAGAGGCCAACACAAAAGTCGGCAAATGCCAAGTTGGCCAAGAAAAAATTTGTTATGGAGCGCAGACGACGCGACAGTGTGACCACAAGTATAACAAGTAGATTGCCTGAAAGAAGATGAAAACAGATATCAAAATGTCAATTAAATTTTTTGAAACAAATTCAAAACAAAAGCTGCAGTCAACTGGGAGATATTAAAAATGTTAACAAAATATTTTGGCAAGCCAGTCCTCTTTCCATCTCTCTCTCTCTCTTTCCCTCTGTTTCCCTCTCTTTCATAGTAGACGAAAAACTCTTACTCGATGCCAGCTTGTCTGCCTGCAGTGGGGGCAATAACTTTCAACAGCCGTTGTATATTTTGTATGACAATTTTTGACGCTTTCCCTCGTCGTTTGGCTAAATGTTGCGTTGAAAGTTTATTTTAATTAGGAGCTTTTCCAGTTTCCCCAACTCCTCTCTCGTTGTCCTCTTCTTACAATGTGTGTGCATGTGTGCGTTACCATCTCGATGTCTGTTAGCCTTAATTAAATGAAAACCCTGGCAAGTGGATTTAAGTGACAGCAGCTAAGGGCCTATGAAGTGCGACCAACATCCAAATAGAATGTACAACGAGCAATGTCCAACTTTGTCAGACTCAGTGAAATATTTCTATATGGTGTGAAAAGGTCTGTGTTTTAGCTCATGATAAATGCTAATGCAAGAGAAAGACATAAAGTGCTATACTACATGATACCCTGCACTTTGTGGTAAAAGTGTGAAACTATATACAAGTTTTGACTATAAATCGGTATTAATTTGCTTGCTTCATTAAAACTCTCAGTCTAGCATTAAGCTGATTTTTTGTTTATTGTAGAAGAAAATTCTATCTTGAAATATAGAAAATAGACAAATAACTATATATCCTAAATTACGATTTCAAGGAAACTATAAAATATAGTATATAGGATATATAAATTATATATACCAACTGTATCATTCAGTAACTTAAGTTAATCATTTCCTTTCTTTGCCATTACATAGTGACTTAATATTGTCATCATCACCAAAAACAAATTGTGTGTTTATGTCAAATCTTGTTTAAGTTCATAGCAGACGGATAAATGATTTTTTTGGCAGAAAACACTAACCAAAGTTTATAAATAGAAAAATTCAAATAAAAAAGATATAAAGATTATGTTAATAAAATTACATAAATAGCTTACACTATATATACATAACATATATAATAAATTAAAATATCTGTCAAAACTGCAGCTTGTAAAATTATATGACATTAAAAAAAGCCTTATTATTTCAGTCACATATTTGAACAACTGAAAAATTGGCAAATGTGAAACTTTTGCAACACATGTAACACAAGCGGATCTCTGGCATAGTTTTCATTAGTCAGTACTCCACTTTTGGAAAACCCTTCTGAAACGGGGCCCTCAACCTTGGGAACTTTCTGTTCTGCTTTGTTCCGCTGTGAGTTCACAATTGTTTGAAGTAATTAAAAAAGTTTGGGTTGAAACAATTTTTTTTATCTTGTCATGCGTGTGCCTGCAAACAATACACACATGTATATTTAAGGATAAAATTAAAAAAAAGAAAATCATAAATAAAATATTTTGTTTTTTTTTGTTTTTTTGTTGGGTAATGCATACGTTTTGGAAAATTTATGCTCTTTTGTCTGAGCTCTAATTAATGTTTTGGGCTATTACCTAGCAACAGCAGTTTGTGTTTTCGCTAGTTGCGAATTGTTCAAAATGTGCACAACAATTTTTGTTCTTTTTGTGTATTTGAAAGTATGCCAGACCGCAATGTGTACAAGCCGAGCAAGAGCCGTGGCGTGTGTGAAAGAGAAAGAAGAGAGAGAAATCGAGTGAAATATAACAATAAATGAAATAATTAAAGTATTTTGCAGGACATTTTTACATGCAGTTGTTGGCTTGCATGCCTAAAGCAAATGGAAGGGACATGAATTCCGAATGCCATTATTTATATAACATATTTTTATTTAATATCTACTTCGCACCCATTAAATAGCTTTAAAGCTCAGTTAGCATTGGGCTTAGTCACCCATTGAAAGCCTTAACCGCAGTCACCAACATTTTTGCCATGGCCTTCGCCTGGGGCTTCGGATTTCAGCCGACTCTGGCAGCAATTGTTGGCCAAAAGCGTTTGGGGCTTTGAAGTTTATTTTCATAGGCTGAAATTCGCTGAAATTTATATTTGGGCAGGCAAGAGCGTAGGCAGGATCAATCCCCTCATGAATTTTATATAAACCTTAGAAAACTTTTAAATATAATGTATGAAAGCTGGTTAGATTAAAAGATATACAACAAAAAATTTCATCATCCCCCATTGAGAAATGCTGGCTACACTCTGTGGGTATGTGGTCTAAGTGTTTTAAAGGTGGTTAAAACCTTTTGGGATTGCAACTCTGTAACTAAACCAAATTCTTAAGGTACAATTCATGACAAAGAGATATATTAATATAAAGAAAGAAACAAAGAGCCGTAGGGTAAGTAGATTGTTCGCAAGGTAATGGTTTTTTCTTGTATAACATAGAAAAATCCTCTGGTTAATGCCCTTAGTCAACCGAAATAAAAATAATTTAAAAGTAAAAATCAAGCAGTTCCGAGTAAAAATCAAGCAGTTCTCCAGAAAAATAAATATTTGAGTTATAAAAATAATTTCTGTTCGACGATTTAAATCGATAAAAAATAATGCTGTATTTTTTGACATTTAATACATAATTAAAAAATAATTTCTGTTTTATTGGAGACACTGTTGAGTACAAATAACTACTTCAGTTAAGTAATTTATCTGGAAAATATATATCAGTATGATGATCAATATATATATTCGAGGTAAAAGCTGGTGAAAATAAATTATATTGATAGAATTTGGTAGAGCAAAATGGGATAAATCTTAGGATTTATAAATTCCGGGACAATTTTAAATAATTTCATTAATTATCCGCAGCTTACTATGTAGCTGGTATTAATTAATATGATTCGCAGCTTAGTATGTAGCTGGTATTAATTATATTTGTTGCCTTCAGAAACTGTCTCATGAAACAACATCAAAATGTTTTCGAAAACATTCAGGGAATTGGTCTATGAGTTAGCAAGGATGCCTGGTATAAACATGATAAGCACTGAACAATAAAATGTTGCAAGTTGCAGTTGTTGTTGGCGTTTGTTTTTGGTGGTGTTTGTGTTGCGATGACACGGCACTTTATTACCCTTTGGTTGTGGATGTGTTGCATAAGCAGGCGGAGACAGTTTTCCCTTGTGGGTGGGTGCGTGTGTGTTTTTCCATTTGACACTAATTGCTTCAGCCCAGGACAGCCATTTACAGCACTCGACGCTTCAGCAACCATTTAAGGGGTAATTTAATGACATAGCTTTTAGTATTAAACTTCTCTGAATTAACTTGCAATTTAAATAAACACGAAAGCATCAAGCGATTTCGAAGGAAACCGCACATTCAATACACTAACGGACCACTTATTAATTAAGCCTAACTATAGACTTGGACACAACTCATATAAATTGTCAGATTTTGTAACTAGATAAGCTTAACTAGTTGAGTTAGTTGATATTGACAACAGCTTAACAGCACGTACAATTCTAAAGTATACATAACTCAGCAATAAATTGATAAAGTAAACATGTATGCCAAAAATTTAGATAGAAAGATAGTTCGAAAGGATAGAAAAGTAACCCGACAATATATTATAAATCTTTTATAATTGAAAATAAAATCGTATCTTGTTGAAAGCTGCTAAGAAATTAAGCAACCCCAAAGAACATTTATCAACCAAAAGAATAAACTTCAAATAATCTGCAAAGCTGACTCAAATGGAATCAGAATAAACAAACTTTATCAGATTTAAATATGCGGGTTACTCATTGAGTGAGCCTTGAGTGCCATTTGTATTTTTTTACATTTGTGCTAGGAGAATTGGTTACAAAGAACACAAAATGCTATATGAAACTCTATGGCAAATAGTTCGAGAGGCAGCAATGAATTTGTAAGCCACACAAACCACATAAAAACAACTTCCGACTTGTAAAGTAAAAGGAACCGCAAAAGCCACAAGCTGAAAGTCGGTCAATCGGTCAGGCCACAAAAGTGTCCCTTATCCTTAGCCATATCAGTAGCCATTTTTTACGGATAGCAGTAGGTTTGAGTAATTGGCAAGTGTACAGTTAACAGAGACACCAAACAGAAGAGAAGTGAAAAAACGAAACCACAATAAACGTCTAAGCGACTGGACTCAATGCAAGGATAATCTAAGAGATGGCATGGTTGACAGGAAATGAATGTTTTGTGGAAGTCACGGAAGTCACGGTAAGTGTAATAAGGAAGTGACGCTAGTGGATGTTTAATATTTTAAGGGCATCTTTATTTATATTTGATGCACAGGAAATATTATAATGAAAACATTTTATAAGTTTATAAGTTGAGCCTTCCGTGATGTGTGTGTCTGTTTGAATGTGCAGATTAAAGGCTCTGTATTTATATATATATATTAATATATATAAATAATTGTAATTCATGCCGTTGAATATGAAAGAAACATTGTCGGCGACGTAAAGTGTTATTGATCAGCATCAATAGCCAAATCAATAGTCTATCTGTGCGTTTCCGTAGTTCAAGTTTTAAAACTATATTCATGAAACTTGGAATATATACAGGAAGTTTTATTTTAATTTGATAACTATATTTACACATATTTGAAAGTCTTTGGGCAAGAGATATCGGCTGAGAATATTGTAAAATAAAGTTGAGAATGATACAAAGTAAGAGAAAATTGTATTGTAGATTCACAAAAAATATAATAAATATATTTAATATATGCAAATATCTATATTTATATATGTATATTGATTCATCTTACTTACCAAAAAAGCAACAGCAGAAGACAATGGTGTAGAGCGTGATGAATATGATTCGCACATCGGTGCGATCAAAGATATATTCACTGGTATTATCGGCCTCCTCCTCCTCCTCGGTCAGCTCGCTGCCCTCGCTGCTTATGGCCAGACCAGTCGTAGCTGATGGTGCGGGCGAATCTGATGCTGCAACTAATGTGTTTGTTGTCTCATTATTGGGTAATCGGATTTCAGTGTCGCTTGCATTGAGTGCCAAGCTCGAATAATTTCCAGTCGCTGACGAGCAACTGCAGTCAACGAATAGGATGAGCAGCAACAGTGGCACCATTAAGTGCCACGGAAATGTGTGGCTGTATATTCCAACTGTTGGCTGTTGGGTGGTTTGTTCCGATTCTTGTTGTTGTTGTTGTCGGTACTCTAGTAAGCCGGAAGTGCTATAATTCGTAGTTGCAGAGGGGTTGTGGTTAACGTTGTTGCTCTTTTGATTATGTTGCTCGTTGCCGATGTTGTCATGATTATCATCATTATCACCATAAGCTGCTGATATGTTAGTGCCGTTGCCCGAGTGGTGCTGTTGGTTATGTTCCCGCCTCTGCAACGCTTCCGCTTCCTGTCGCTGGTGCTGCGAGGACGACGCCTGCGTCCATTGCAGACAACGGGCACTCATAATGCTAATAACGTGATGCAACTGCAATAATAGCGAGCTAAAAGTAAAAAGAGTAAGAGAAAGTAGATAGAGAGAGAGAAACAGGGAGAGCGTAAGGGATAGAGATGGCAAGTTGGCGATAATCACTTGCCGGCGGATGCCAGCGAAGCCACCAAGCACTTAATTATGATTAAAATTTTCTGAAGCAATGGAAAATTAACGCTTTGCTTGGAAACTAGTGAAAATTAAGCAAACGCATAGTGGAAACAAGCTAGAATGCTCTAATCGAGAGACCTCAACGAGGAAATATCCTGTTAAATGCATTAACTCAATTAAACACAGCCTAGAAAACCATAAATATATCAAATGTAATAAGGCTTGCATTTGCAATATCAAAATACATTTTGGTTGCCGAAATATATGTATAAATACAAAAAAAATAAGAACACAATAAGGAATGCTTGCCTGGTAAATAACCAGATATTTGCTTAATGAAGTTGTAATAGCAAAAGAATCGCTAAAATAAATGAGTTGTGTTACTAAATTAAACACAATTTTGTTAATCGGAGTACGCAAATTTAAATTACCAAAAAAAAAAGGTCAGATATTTTAAGCATGAACATACGTATATAATAAAATGCGATGGCAGCTCCATTTTTAAATACAGAGAACGCAATTTATAATTAGGTTTCTAGATAACCACTTTCAACTTTATTCACAGCTAATTTTCCAACTGCATTAAAAGTGTTTATACAAACTAAAATCCAACCGTCAAAATAATAATGTGACAATTTGTTGGCGTTGTTTGTCGAGTGTCTCTATTTATTCACATGCCTGCCAAATGTCTTATATTAACATTGGACATATTAAATGGCACCGAGTCGTGCGTGTTTGATGTGCATGACGATTCAACAGGGCCTTAATTACTTGATAGCTATTTTTACTCGTGCTCTCTGTGTGTTTTTGTGCGAATGATATGTGAGTGGAAAATTACAAGAGTCCTTATTAATTAGAGCACGTACACAAAGAGAGAAAAACATTGAGATGGGCAATAATCAAAGCATCCTTGTTGGTGGGCGACACGCATGATGATGAGAATAGGTAAAGACAGAATATCGTAGGGGCCAATGGAACACCAGCTCTTGATGCACTCGCATAATTGGCAATGAAACGTGTCGCATATTAAAAATAACGAAAATGTGAGAGAAATATGGGATGATGAGAGTGTGTGTGAGAGAGAGAGGGTTATATTCGGGTTGAAATATGCATAGGTTTTTAAATGCAATTCTATGAAATATAAATACTGCAAAGAGTATTTATTCATTAGACTTTTTAACTTTTCCAGCATTGCAACACGAAAGTTTCAATGAAAATCATTATAAAAGACAGCTTAATTAAAAAGAACGTTCAAGCAGATGAGCAGAGAATAAAAAGGAAACGAAGAAATTGTGAGAGCGAGATAAACGGTGGAAATGTTACATTGTTGGCAGGTCACGATTTTCTTCATCAAGTTTAATTGCTTTGAGTGTGGAAAATAAATGAAAAATGGGTTTCAGATCCACGTGACAGACACCCAACCTAAATATAATACCATATAAAGCCCGCAGACTACAGAATATATATAAATAACATATGCATATACAAATTAATTTTATAAATATCAACTTGATGAAAATAAAAATAAATTAGGTCATGTCTCCATGACTTGTCAAATATTAAATAAATATCATTGATTTCAGCTAATAAGCTGCCATAATATTGAATCACAACTTTTGTTAACTTTGCATCTTTCATCATCAATTATTCTGCTTATCAGACAGTTGAAAGGAATAATCCATTACCTGCAGAACAATGCCATAAGTGTTTTCCAAAGTTGTTGTGCTCATGCTCAATTAAAGGGCCGAAGTAGAAAAGGCCAAAACGAGCACAGCCAGCAACAGTCAAAGCAAGAACATAAACAAAACAAAGCCCCGAGTGGCAATCAAATACGGAACGAAGCGTGGCAAAACAAAGTTTCTAGCTTTCCAATAACACCCTCCTATCTCACAAGCCCCCTTCTAACTTCCGTTTCCCCCCCAAGTGCGCACTCATCATTCGGCACAGCACTTTGTCGGCGATTGTAAAGGCTGCACTAAAAGTTTTGTCGATGTCCGATGTGTCTGCGGATCCACAAACGGGATGTGGGTCAAATAGCAAAAACCACAATAAAAGGTAACTCGAAATTGCCTGAAATTGTAATTAATGAGGCCGACAAAAGCGAAATGCGGCCAAACAATGCAGCTACTAAAAAAACTTTCTCATTGGTAAAATGCACTTTGGTATTGGGCAATTTGGTAAGTATTCTTTGGATTACACATAAATAAAACTGTAATTAATGTTCTACCTAGCGCTTATTTGTGGAAAATACTACGAAAATACAGTTTATAATAATATAATAAATAATTATTATTATTATAAGAAAAGAGATCACATCAATTTTATTTAAATCTTATTTGTAATTAGATCCTCTTCCAATCATTAAATTTATACAGCCTTAAGAGAAATTTATATTTGCGACAATATATTCTGGTTTATTGGTGAAGGTTATTTAAGCATAGGAATACAATTCCAGCTCATTAGTTGGGAGTAATAGGCAGACAAACATTTACTCAACAACAGATATTCACTCAATTGGGTCAGTTTGCTATGCTTTTCGAACATAATTCGATTTAATATAATTTTAGACCGAATCGAGTGCAAATATTATCCCAGCCCTAATTCTACCTTATTCAATGCCCTTTGTTTATCTATTTTGTGCAAGCAAATGCCAAGAATGAGTTTAACAATATACGGGTATTCTGATATCGGCATGCCACAGCTGACATTGCCATCTAATAAGCATTCAAATGCCGATGCCCAATCGCTGCAGTTTGTTTGCCAATGTTTGGCATGAACTCAACCGACTTGCAATCCCCATCAGGTATTTAGCAAACAAGCCATCAACTAATGTCAAATACAGGTGTTACGCAGATTGGGGAGAGATGCAATTGCTGGGAGATACAAAAACATGCCATGAATGGGGGTCCCTCTGCAAGTTCTTGCTGCGACACACGTTGTGGACATATTGTGCATCTGGCAACTGACTGTGGCAGGCATTGGGATTAGTTTGCCTGCCAGTAAGCGATTTTTTTTGTACGTGAAACTTGAGCTCGCATTCTTTCGCCTAATGGCGTTTTCTGCACACAACTTTTAAGCTAGCAACTTACACACTTGCCAAATGCAGCTTGTTGTACAATACAACACAAACACAGACTTTGCATCCTCTTCAGACCTTGATGTGATATTTAGTCGTAAAAAATATATACACTTTAAAAACATTCGCCATGAAAAACAACATGTTTTGGGCTGCCGTGGTTGAAATACCCTCACAGATGGCAAGTGGATACACAGCAATATTTTTATTATACTCTTGAGTAAAATCTTTTCACATAAAATTATTTTTATTTCCACCACGAACAAAGAAAACAAATTTTAAACTGAGTCTGCTCAGCAACCGACTGACAATAATATTCTAAATTGCCTAGCATTCATTTTTCAACAATAATTTTAACAATCATTATAAACTCTTGAAATCATAAATTAAAAGGAAATAGTTTTTAATCACCATTTCAATTAAAAAAACAATTTTTTGTTTGATTGTGATTTGCTGGTCTGGTATAAAATACACACAAAAAAAAAACAACACTAATACAGAAGATCGCGGAGTGTATGGAGAAGAAAAGTTTTGCTGAAAATATGGAGATGTTGTTGGATATACGAGTATATATGCTCAACTTCTAATAAAAGTCACATTTAAGCATTCCCATAAAATGTATAATTATGATGATCATGTTTTTAGAGGTCAACTCTAATCTTTAAATCCTTTTTATACACATTTATATTTATAAAAAGCTATCAGAGGCATATTATTAGAATTTTAAGCGTATTTTTGGTTCGCCTTTTAATATTACACTTTCTCTTGACTCTTTTCTCATTAGTCTTTTCACATATGTGCATTTTGGCTCGTTAATAAATCGTGATTTAACAGCTTATTTGTTTATATCCTTTTTATTTTATTTTTTGCATTTAATTACAACTTTGAGTGCTGACATATTTTTCGCTGGTTTTCATGAATTTTTCATGGATTTTCATCAATTAACCCAAATTGCGAATAAAGATATGATATTAAAAAATATTTATTTGTTAATTGTTTCTGTACTCGTATCTTTATTTTCAATTTGGTATTTTAATATTTACATACTGTTAAATGTGTCATGTTTATGTCTCTCGTATTTGTATGAGTTTGCATATTAGGCATCTGCATCTGTGTCTAGTATCTGCATCTGCGAGTATGCATTCCAATTAGCTGAAATGTCAAATGTCTGTTTGTGCAATGTTTTGTTTGCTCACGCATGTGACCTTAAACCGAATTGTGTGTAAGTTTAGTTGTTGTACTGTTATTATTATGATTGCAAATGTGGCAAAATTTTGTTCGTAAAGCTAAATGGCTTTGCAGTAGAGCGAGCACCATTAACTAATTCCCCGGCTCGTAGAGTCAGCACTAACAAAGTTGTCTCCGCAAGTTGTGACAGCTACAAACGGCAAATGTCTGAAGATTAGTGAACGCCTGGGACACTTGGAATACCTACAGCTTGTACGTACAGGTTGTACGCTAACCACCTGGCTTAACTAAATAGTTTGTCTGAGGACACAACGGGAAACTGTTTGACGCTTTAATGAGCTGAGCAGTGCTGAAAGTGATAACTGTTGGCAAAGGGCAGACGGAGGGAGATGCACTGTTTGTTTTATGCGTGTCAGGCTGGCTCGACAAATAAAACCTGACAGTTGCCAGCCTTAAGCCAGCCAAATTGATTTGCCTGATTCCGATTTAATTAAAAAGCATCCGCAAGTGCAATGAAAACTTTCCCCAGCTTGCCACCGATTTTCCGTTAAGGATTTTGCGTGTCAGTATGTCTGCCATGGTTACATAAGGGAAGCAAGCTCGAATTTAGAACGAAAATGTGGAAGGGTATTAACACA